TGTGTGTGTGTGTGTGTGTGTGTGTGTGTGTGTGTGTGTGTGTGTGTTGGGGCGGGTGGAGGACAGATTCTCCTTCCCCACTGCTAATGGAATCGCTGAATCGTGCTGCCATCTAGCGGGCAGAAAGCGAGAGAGATATATCGCCTCCCCCCCTCCTTCCCCCGTTGTGTTGAGAGGAAAAAGCCCTAGCGGCTTATACAGGAGCAGAGCGGTTGTGAAGCCTCTTATTTGTCCCTTTAAATTCTAGAGGGAAAGAAAAATATTTGTTTCATACGGACAGTGAAAAAAAATATATATATATATAATTTTATTAACTTCCGAGACGTTACACTCTCAGTCCTCCGATCGACACCTTTTCAATACCCCCCCCCCACATCTTCCCAACTTCTACAAAAGTTCTAAGGCCAGAAGGCAGCGATTCCTGAGATATTAAGCCTGATTTTTTTTTTTGTTGCAGAGAAGCAAAAAGTTTTCTCGGTGGGTGACCCGGGGTCCCTTTTCTAGTTTCAAAAGTTCAGGAGCTCAGATGCAAGGGGCGCTTTCTGGAGCCAAACAAGACAGTTTGCAGTTTGGTGGTGGAATTAATGAAGGGTCGCTTCCCCCTCTCCACCCGTTCCCCCCACCCCACCCCACCCCGCGCCGCAATCAGTTTTCCCTGCCAAGCCGTCCTTATTGTAGGTTGCATTGATAGAAGGGATGCCATTGAAAATGCCACCGTGGGCTTTTTTTTCCCGCCTCTCTCCCTCTTTTCCAATAAACTCTCGGGTCCTGTATTCTGGTGGTCGCTGAAAAGGTGAAACGAATAAGATTAAATCTCTCGCAGGCACACACGCACGCACGCACCCACTCAGCTCTGTATGTGTTTCATCTAAGATTTTACTCCCCGGACTGCGGAGAGACGGAGAAAAAAAAAGAGGCAGAGCAAGAGAAAAACGAAGAGGGAGGGAGAAAGGGGCGAGAGCGGGAGAAAGAAGCAGCGAGAGGAAGCCTGCGAGAGGCACCAGCTCCTTGGCGAGGCTTCTTCGGAGTCCGGATCCCCTCAGCTGGCAGGCAGCAGTCCCGGCCCGTCTAAGGCAAGTAGATTTTGCTTTCTGCCTCCTGTATTTCTGACAAAGTTCAACCCTGCGAAGCAGCAGCATCCAGCTGCTTTTGAGCTGAGAATCTCCCCCGCTCCCTCCCCGCCCCGCTTCCTCCTTTGACAAGAGTTCAACCGAAGCAGCAACTTGGACGGGGGAACTTTTAAAAACCTCTCTCGCTCTCCCTCCTCTTCTCCGCTTTCGGTGCCCGAACCACTGTTCTTTGTCCCATCGCTTTAGCTTTTGTCAGACGCTGAACAGAAGCAGATCCAGCCTGCTTGGGATTTTCCAACCACAAACAGGTTGGAAGCTCTGGTGTGTGTGTGTGTGTGTGTGTGTGTGTGTGTGTGAGAGAGAGAGAGAGAGAGAGAAAGACTGCTCTCTGTGTAGGTGGGGAGCATAGGACGGGGACAGCTGTCTTGAGATAGGAAAATGGGAAAACTTCGGGGACAGGCGCTATGTGCAATCAATAAGCTACCTCGTTATCCCAATCTTAAAAAGAAAAGGCCAAATCTACTGATAGGTTTCCACGAAATTAAATGAACTTTCTCCACAATCCACCGAGCACCTCCAAGTAGGAGCTA